ACCTCTACACGGTCCTTCCAGCTCCACTGCTCTGTGACTCTATGGCACTTTGTATAATTTTGTCATCCACAAGTTTGGCCACCTCACTACTCACCTCCTTTTCCAGATCATTTATGTTTTGTTAAGCAGCACTGGTCCCAACACAGACCCCTGGGGGACCCGCTATTTACTTCTTTCATCCTGAAAACTGACCATTTACACTCCCTCTTTGCTTTCTATCCCAAAGCCAGCTTCTAATCCATGAGTGAATGTCCTCTGCTCTCTTGTGACTACCTTAGTGATGGGGTCCTGCTCCCTGATCATGTTTTTGCTCTGCTCCGTCTACCATCTCTCCACCCCCATTCACCTTCTCCTGGGACATATTGTACTAAGCCACATGCCTCACAAGAGCCTACGGCTCTGGGCAGTTGCTTGCATCACACTTGCAATTTCAGGGAACGGAACCAGGTTTGTTTCACAAGAGCTGCTGGCTGTTAAACCCGTTCAACTGGCGCGAATCGCGCAGGAAGGCCACGCAGACCACAGCGCGCATTTCCAGTTCCTCTCGTCTGTGGCTCAGACCTCCAGCCTGGCGGAGCAGGCAGCCCCAGACATACTCTCTTCCTTGTGCTCCTTGCTAGGCCAGTCTGAGCAGCTCACGACACACAAGCACAAGTCTGTACCACACCTGCTGCCGAAGCATCCTCCCCTCCACGGCTGGTCTACCCACCCTGTGGATGCACCAGCTGGTGTCCAGCCCCCAAGAGTAACTCTCCTCCCCAAAAGGGGCACAGCTAACTTTCCTTAGGGCACTTCTGCCAGACCGGGGGCTGTGCTCCACAACCCCCAGCCAGCATCTCACCGCCCGTGTTGTCAGACTCCTCTTGTACAGGATTTCCATGAGCACCACTCAGACTTTACTGTCTTCTCTTCTAAGGTCCCTTGTGTTTCCACATGATGCTGTGTTGTGGTCCTGACTGCAGACTGTAGGAGACCCTAAGCTAAGATGGTCTAGTATCTGCTGCCCTCCACTCGACCAAAGTTTAAGTAAGAGAAGGGGCAACCAAATGAGCAAGCAAATGTCAGATGAGATTAAATTTAAAAAGTGAGAGCAGGGCAGGTCAGAAGAAGTTGGCTAAACGCTGCTCAGAGTGCATGGAGTGCTTTTAGATCTGGTTCAGGACAAGGTGTAGTTAAATGGAGGATAAAAATAGGCATATGAATATTAATTAGAGTAGAACCTGTTAGATTTTTTTTAAAAAACTGGCCTTGTTTAGTAAGCTTTTCGATATTAAGCCAGGCAATACAGTTAAAAATCTGGGTCCCTACTGAACAGCCCATCTGCAGATGCGCCAAGACAAGAGCACTTTTAAAACTGAATTTGAAACCTGGATGAGAGCAGGCTGCCCACCTGCTAGAGACTTTGGGACTTCAAGAAATTAATTTTAAATTCTTCCAAATGCTAATGAGATTGTTAATTCTTCAGACAAACACACATTTTATAAGTTTTAATCATTTGCTTGATATGCTTTGCTTGTACTGTTGGCCATTTATCTCTTATCTGCATTTCATGATTACATTTGCTATTAACATGCATCTGGCATTTATGTTTGCAAATATTTAATTCTGATGGGACCTGTTCTTCAAACCCTTCTTGGTTCCCAGAATTACTCTGGGGTCAACGCAATGCATAACTGCCCACACCGCCCTACTAGATGTCACCCTGTCGAATGCTGCTGGTCTCAGGGACAAAGCTCACCATCCTTCTGCTCTAGTGTCAGCTGTTGAGTTTTCTGCCTCACTTTTGCTGCAGTTACTGACCACAAGTCCCTGCCAGCCTTGGCTGTGGAAGTAACTGCATTGTAACTGCCTGCTTCATGCCCTAATGAAGCTCATCACGTACATCCCTGTCGCTGTCCGTTCCACTTCTGCACGACAGGTTCCTGGGAGCTGACCAGCCAAGCAGCTGGCTCAGCTTCCCGTGAGTGTTCACTCATTTTTGACTATGGAAAATCTAGAGCAACTCTTCTGTTGCAAAGAGCCAGGACAGACCGCATCAGGTCAGGGCGTCTGTGACGCTGTGGATTCCTATTTGCAATCTCTGGGTTTATCTGGTGAACTGCATGTAGGCACTTGCACATCTACCCGTGTTAATATTGTACACCACCCCACAACCCCCTTAAAAAGCTCTGACAACATGCCAGGCCCCCTGGGTGAGAATTATTGCCCAAGCCAAAGGTTTGCTTGACAATGACTTAGCATACAAGTCTCCCTCCAAGGAGGCATCGGCTGTTAGGAAACACAGATTAATAGATTACGAAGTCACAAGGGAGCTTTGTGGTCAACTGATCTCACCCCCTGTCTAACAAGGGACGTATTAATTCGTGGAAGCCCTGCTTGTCTGAGACACCGCAATCTTTCAGAAAAAAATGTCATGCCTTGGCTGCAACATTCGAACACTTGGTTGGATCAGACCTGACAGCCCCAGCTGTGCTGTCCTCACAGAGACGCACTGTGAAGGAAGCAGTTACCAAAAAGGCTCTTAACCAGGCTGAGTAGGCAAAGAACCATCGTGGTGACTGCGCAGGGGAAGCAATCAGCAGCTGGCAAGAGCAGCAGGATGGGAAGCTTGGGCAAGGAGGTGAACCAAATGTGCAACCTCCAATCAACCACCTTCATCCCCGAGCAGCTGTGCCCTTCAGAATTGCTCTGGTTTGCCAGCTCCTCCCCAGGCAGGTAATCTACTGCCATGGCTAATGCCCCTCGGTGCTGAATCCAGAAAAACTGCGCCCTCCTCCTCTGTCTGGCTTCAGCAGCCACCCACCACATCTCCCTCCTGCCTCCGTCTGCCAGGCTAAAGAGCTGCCTGCTCCTGGAAACTCCCTGTGCGGGAGCTGGAAGACTGTGATCAAGTCACCGCTGAACCTTCTCTTGTACCAATTTAGTAAACAGAGCTTTTTAATTTACATTTTTCCAGACTGTTGCTTTCCTGTGGTACTCTCCATGGCTCCCTGCCACCCCTTTCTGCAGGCAGGCACCAGCACTGCACACAGCCCTCCTTGCTAATGGAAAGCTTGGCAGTGACACAACCTCCCTCCACCCAGGCAGCTTTCCCCTGCTCATGCAGCCACAAACCACTTTGCAGGGAGACTCACTCACCAGTTTTCCCCATGACAGCAGAGTTACTGCTTTCCAAGACAGAGAATGGGGAGACATTGGTGCGACTGGTATGATTGGCTCGTAGGTGCGTGGCCTCATACTTGGCTGTATTCAGTAAAGCAGGCCCCTCCTAGCACACCCTCTGGATCATTCTGCATATGTGCTTGGCCCCACCAGCTTATGTCAGCTGCAGCCTCATGTTTCCTTCTAGTTGTCTCCCAAGTAGCACTGGGTGAGCGATGGATCCCTACAGGGGCTTCTTGGAAAATACCCTCCAGGACAGCCGTTCCCAGTCTGCGGTATGGGTACCACCAGTGGTACACAGGTAACCTGTTAGTAGCACACATTAACAGATTTATTATAATTACTTTATACGACAAAAATTTGCTGGTGGTACTTAAGGTAGAACTGAAAAAAGTACCACCCACGCATAAGGTTGTGTCCTTTTAAATTGGTGGTGCCCCATCTATCAAGAGTTTGGGAATTGCTGCTCTAGGGAGAGAAATGTCCTTTTCCCCGTTCACATTTGTGACCATCAGCCAGTTCTCAGTCCATTTTCCGCAGGCAACAGTGACTAGGTCACTGCTAGGTGAAGTGGAGTCTAATGCCTGGCAGTGAAGTGGTCTGGGCCCAGGAGGGCAAGACCATGCTTGCCTTGTCCCACCCAGGTGTGAGCTGGGCAGCAACGGCATAACCGGAGCCAGCAGCTGGAAGGGAACAGATTGCAAGAGGGTGGACACAGGAGGCATACGTGCACCCAGCGTGTGTGAATACAAGGAGAGCAGGATCCTGGTCAGAGCCACAGGAATGAAAGTTTCACAGACCCAAGAATGGCTTCCTGAGCTGCGCCCCAGCAGCAGCCCGAGGCTGCTGCAGAAGGAAACGAGCTGGTTGCTCTTCACAGCTTCTCTTCTGACCCATTTACGTTCTTACACAAGTGTCTTCCCTTCGGAGGTGACTGAGGCTCTGGGGGCCAGGCAGCTCTTGCATCAGCCAGCTGGGTGTCCCACAGGAAGCAGCCTCCATGAGGGACAGCAGCACCTTTGCCACAGAGTCAGTCTCTGGCTGCTGGCCCTGCTCCCTGTCCTCCTTCCCTTTGGATGGGAACCCTTCCTGGGAGAAAGGGCGCACACTGCTGCCACTGTCCCACCTACAGCCAGCACTAGGCAGGAGATTCCTCACCATGAGCAGGAGCTTCTCTGGCAATGCCAAATGCCCAGCAATGGGACCCTGGGCTCTGCAACAAGGTCCACAGAGACCTGAGGGAATGTCGTACCCTGGATATCACAGCCCCTGACAAACTGCCCAGCCCCAGCCTGCTCATTGGGGGAAGCAGCACCTGCCATCAAGACCTGATGGGGATACCTAGCTCCTCTGTGGGACATGAGGCTGATGTGCATGCAGCTCTCCCAACACTGCACTGCTGGGGCAGCTGATTACCCTGGAAAAGCAACATGCAGCTATTTGTACTGGGGGCTGCAGAGCAGCAGGAATAACTAGCAAGGGAGCAGGGGAGGGGTAAGGGAAAAGACAGAGGACCCTCCCTCCCACCTCAGCAGAGCAGAAAGCAGGAACATGACTAACTGCCTAATTCTGTCTCTGCAAGTAAGCATACGAGGGAGGGTGTCTCTGAACAGTGGGCAGCACACAAGCTACAGCTGCCAAGCCTGCCTTGCCCTGGTTCAAGTCCCAGCCTCGCTGTGCTGGGACAGCACCAGGGAGCCGTGAGCGGCTCTGGGCAGATTGGGAGCAGGCTACGTTCACTTCCCCTCTACCTCAGGCCCAGGCTCCTCCGTGAGGGTGGCTGCTACCGCAGTTAGAGTCAGGAAAGATGACTCACTGAACAACTGGGAGGAATGGAGTTCACTTGCATGGGAATAAACTTTAATTATTTATTTTAAAAAAGCCCCATAGACCTTTCCACTGCCCTCCCCTCAGCCCTGGGGCTGAGCTGGGAAGAGGGAGGTCTTTCCTCTCCCCTCCACTTGATGTGCCTTCTGCCCCAGTGCAGGCTGGGGCTGAGGCAGAGAATGAAAGGTGCCTAGTATTAAGGTGCTGGGAACCCTTGGTGGCTGCGGGTAGCTCAGGTGCTGTTGGCCTGCTCCTGCTCAAAGAGAGCCATGGCCAGGTGGGAGCGGGAGGCGAGCCCCTCCAGGTTGCTGAGCACACACCGGTGGTACAGCTCCTCGCTCAGCCGGGGGTTGCAGCTGCGCAGCGCATACTTCTGCACCAGCCCTGGTTCCACTGCCCGGAAGAGATGGAGCCCTGAGTAGCGCAGGAAGACGTCGAAGACCTCCATGCCCTCCAGCACCTCGTCCCGGTCCAGGATGTCAGCTGCCAGCTTGGTGCGTGCAGCCATGTAGTCGGAGTTGTAGAAACAGGCCTCTGCAAAGGCATGCCGGTCGAAGCGCCCGTCCCGCAGGACATCAGCACTGGATGACGAGGCCTGATCACCCCGGTACACCAGCGCAGGGTTGAACTCCTGGAAGTGCACTGGGAAGAAGACCTGCCAGTTGCTGATAGTGTTCATGCGGCAGCGGTTTAGGAACTCCATGCTGACCTCTGTCCACACACTGGTCAGGAAGAAAAGGGTGTCCACAGGATGCTTCTTGGACATGATGTCCATCAGTTTCACCTGCGACGGCACCTCTGTTTTGACGCTGATCCAAGGGATCTTCACCTCAGTGTAGCGTTTCTCCAGCTCTCCCACCATGGCCTTGACCCCGGCAAAGACGTCCAGCTGGCTGACCCGCTGGGCATCGTAGGGGTGGTAGATGAAGAGCAGGGTCAGCAGGGCATTGTCGTGGGTGTCCAGTGTGTTCATGGCAAATGTGTCCAGGAAGTTCCCCACAAAGTCCAGGTCCTGCACAGTCAGGGGAAGCACCAGTTGCACCCGTGTGGCCTCCGTCACATAGGGCATGGGAATGATTTCCATCTTGCTGAGGGGCCGCACAAGGCTAACCCGCTTGGCCAGGACGTGGCTGTGGCCCTTCTGGGTCACCGCCTCCAGCAGGAGGTCCAGAGTGTACTCCATGCCCCGCGTGGGGTCAAAGCGCCGGTAGCCGTTCAGCAACTGCCGCTTGTAGAACCGGAGCAGCGGCTGGTAGCGGCTGTTGAGCTGCTCGAGTGCCGACTCGATGATGTCGTTGACGTCGGCCTTGCTGGCCCCCGAGAGCTCGCACTTGGGGGTGCCGTCAGGGCAGGAGAAGAGATGCTGCTCCGTGAAGTAGTCCCAGCTGATCACCTCGAAGCGCGACTTGGGCACGAAGGGTGCAGGGATGCCGACTGGCCACGTAAGCCCAGCCTCGCCCACGGGGGTCAGTGATGTCAGGTTCCTGATCTGCATCTGTAGGAAGAACTTGGTGATCCCTTTGCCCCTGGAGGGGCAAGCGGTCCCCATCCCCCAACCAGTCCCTCCTCCCCACTGGGAACCTCCCAAATCCTCGATGGTACTGGAACTGCAGTAGGCCTGACCCAGATCAGCTGGGATCAGAAACAGCATCTCCGGGTGGGAGGGATCTGCCGCCACTGGGCAGTTTGAGATCAACCCTTCCCAAGCGCCTGGAGACAGAGGTGAGGATCAGCTCCTACCCGTGCGTACCCTCCAGGTACTGACCTGAAGCTGCTCGATCTCCTGGTAGGCTCTGTCTAGTTGGATCCTGCTGAAGTGCTTGTGCAGCCGGTACATGAGGGTCACGTCGGAGACAGGGTGCACAGCGAGCGCGGCCTGGAAGCTGGCCCCCTGCTCCTTCTCGGGGTCGGCGTTCTTGGCCAGCTCATAGGAGCGGTAGTGCTGGCCCTGAGAAGGACGAGAGCCAAAGCAACTGGGGCTGGAGCGAGAGGCATGTCCCCTACCTGCTGTTCCCACCGGGGACAAGACCCCACCTCCGGCAGTGCCCCCAGCCCTCCGCGAGGCCGCCAACGAGACCCGACTAGGCCACCCGCCCCCACCACGCTGCCTGCGTAGACGCGGCGCCCGCACCTGGAGCTGGGAGATGCAGCTGATGCCCAGGAAGTCGATGATGCAGCGCCCCAGCCACTCGTCGGGCCGCACGCTGAGGATCTCGTTGCGGCAGCCATCCAAGTGCCGACTCAGCTTCAGCAGGAGGCTGCGGGACAGCAGGTAGCCAAAGCCCCCGTGGCAGTAGCGGGCCCGCTCGTCCCCGCCAATGAACTCCTCGGCCCGGCCCAGGTACACGTCCTGGTCGATGCTGAGGTGCGTCACCAGCGCCTTGACCTGCTCAGCCTGCGCGTAGGTGTTGTCCTGCATGATGAAGAACCAGTCGTAGTCGGCCCCGAAGTGCTGGTGCAGGTAGCGCACTGTCTCGTACATGAGCCACACAGGGCGCTCGTCGCCGTGCGCCACCAGCACCATGCCCGGCGGCACCTTGGCGCCGCGCAGCCCTGTGAAGTACAGCAGGCGCGGGAAGTGCGGCGCCACCGTCTTGTTCCCCGCCACGGCCAGGGTGGGCAGCGTGGCCCGCGACGTCAGCCCGGCCGCCAGCAGGCGCTCGCGGAAGCCCAGCTCCGTCTGGATGTAGCGGGTCCTGCGGCGGGACGGGACGGGACGGGCGGTTAGCGGGGGCAGAGCCGACCCCGACCCCCACCCGGCCCGGCCCGGCCCCGACACGACCCACCTGAGCACCTTCTTGTGCGGCGGCCCGGCGGGGCGCGCGTACGGCACGATGCGGGGCCGGAACTCGTCGGGGCCGGGGCGAGCCCG